AAATACAACATAACATAATATTACTTTCTTCATCCAATTGTTGAATCACTAAACTTTTACATTGCAGAAGCAAAAATACTATACTAAAAGCTCACCAAATTTTGCGAGGGTCATTAATATACTAAAATCCAAACAAAGTTATAATATACAGATTTGCAAAGATTAAGAAAAAAAATGCTATTAGAGAGAATGATCAGATAGAGCTAATACATGATGTGCCATCATATCGGCAATCAAACCAATAGGGAAATTAATCTAATCATCATATCAATCTCTCCACAGCAATCTACTCATTAAACCAAGGTTTTAAAAAGCACATTTGCAGATCTAATGTATGTTACTGAAAAATAAAACAAAAACAAGAGAGAATGATCAGAAAGAAATTAGAGATATTAGCGCCATCATACCGGCGATCAAACCAATAGGTTAATCTAATCATCATATCATTCTCTCTCTCTCTCTGTTATACCTGAAGACAAGCTACGCCATCATAATTACAAATCTACCTATCATATCATCTCGAATTAAAACCCCAAAGCCTAAATGTTGAACATAAACACTGAGTTCAGCCATGGGTTTCACCACCATAATACAATAAAGTGGATTGCTTCGGTGATAAAAGCCATGGAGATACTTAGTGTTTATCGAAACTGGGCTTGAAGGAAAAAACATTGGCGAAGAAGAAACCCAAAACGAGAGACAAAGTTGAGATATCTAGGGTTTAGAGAAAAGAAAAGAAGGTGGGATTTTATAGAAGCGAAATGAGTTGAGCTCTAAATATACTGAATACGTCAGCCCTAAATATATAGACACGTTGTGACTCACGCACGCGGACCTCAGTGGCCCATTGATTTTGGGGTGGGTTGGGCTTTGAGCCTTCGAGATTGGAAGAGAAGAACTAGTTGTCTTGATCCATGTTTCCTGCAACATAACTGTGGTGACAGAGATATATTTGCCATCTTTGCAAACCATTTGAAGTTCAAACAACAGGTTAATGTCCTGTAATTATAGTTTAACACTGGTACACTAATTTTCAATAATGAATACAATTATACAAAGGCTTTCAATTACTTTAACAAATCAAATCCACTTGAACCACCCAGCAGAATACACAAATCAGCTTACCATGTAATCGTAGCGACATTTTATACACGAAAGCAGCTATTACCATTATCCCAATTCAAATTCACAGAAGTCCAAGTAAACTCAATCAGTTCAAGCATGATTCAGTGAGAACTCTTCATTAAGCAATGTGATGGAACCTCTAAACCTCAACTCAAACAAAACAATGCTAATTCATATAAGCTAAACTATTCAACAATCAGCTTATGTTGACTACTGTGCTTCCAAAATGCCTAATGATGCTCTGCATGTTTTTATGCTTAGCAAGAGAAATACCTGACGATGAACTTATCTCCATAGTTCTATGACCACAGAATTCATAATGATCTGCGGGCTGCCAAAGATGGTTCTTGTTCCAGACAGAGACAGTAACCAGTGAATCATTAGATCTAATACTCATACCAAAATCAGAACATGGTGTTAATATCTATTGTTTGCTCGTGATATGCAGGTAATGCTTTACCAGCTTTATGTTTATTGAAGAATTAATTTCTGGTCAGAACATGAATCATAAGTTATTGTTTCTCAGGTGAGAGGGTTGCAGTCATTGTACTTCATCAGTCCAGATCCAAATAAAGACGCCATCCGAACAGAAGGACTTATCCCCACACAAATGATGAGGGACATTATCAATGAATTGTAAGGATGCTCTGAGAATTTGTTATAAGAGATGAAATGTTTTTGACTGTGGTGGTTGA